GATGAGAAAGTTAGTCTCTGTTTTTCAGAACAACTTTGGCCACTGTACCAAGAAGAAAGCTCACCCACCAGTGAAAGCAGATGCCAAACCTAGTTCTCGTCCGAGAAGTTCTGTAACACATGCTGCTCTTGAACTAGTAGATCAAGAACTTAATCGCTTGCAACATGCTTGTGTAATCTAATCAGTCAACTACTCTGCATCGGCCACACCGATTGTAGCGATTAAGAAGGCCATTGGAGCTATACGCATATTTGCCGATTTCTCGACCGGTTTAAATGCTACATTGGATGTATATCAGTATCTGTCACCAGTTCCTGAGGACCTATTTTCCAAGCTCAATGGTGGGACATGTTTCGCGAAAATAGATTTATCCGATGCCTATCTGCAAGTGGAAGTGGATGAAGATAGTAGAGATCTTCTGACCATTAACACTCATCGAGGGTTATTTCAATACACCCGTTTACCATTTGGAATCAAGACCGCACCTGCCATCTTTCAGCAAATAGTTGATACGTTGCTAACAGTTATACCTGGTACAGCAGCTTACCTAGATGATATCATGGTTACGGGTTCAACTGATAGTGAACTTTCTGATTGACTACATCAAGTCCTTAACCGAGTGTTGGAGTGTGGTTTTTAACTACGTGAAGTAAAGTGTATCTTCTCCATGCATTCGATCAAATACCTTGGTTTCATCTTAGATAAGAACGGTTGCAGACCAGACCCTGCTAACATCGAAGCCATTTAGAAGATACCTGCACCAACCGATGTCTCTTCACTAAAATCATTCTTGAGGTTAATCAGTCACTACAGCACATTCCTGCCTGAAATACATCGAGTGAAAGGTTCCATGAATGAATTACTATCGAAAGATAAACCTTGGCAGTGGTCAACAGAATGACAAGCATCTTTTAATAAAGTCAACTCAGTGCTCAGCTCAAAGCTTCTTTTCACTCACTTCGATCCCAGTTTGGGAATTGTCGTTTTTCCGGACAGATCAGAAAAAAATTGTTCGTGCTACACGATCACTCACCCCAGCAGAGCGGAACTACAACCAGCCCGAAAAAAGACTTCTCAATCACTTTCGCTGTCAAAAGACTCCATAAAATTCTCTACGGCTGTACGTTTACTATACTGACAGACTAGAAACATTTAATCGCAGTTTTCGGTTCCAAGAAAGAAATTCCTGTCCATATGGTTCTGAGCTATGACTACAATATCAAGTTTTAGTTCAAACATACTATCGATCAAGCCGACGCTCCCTCTCGATTTACTGAATTTCATCACTGTTGACTAGAGGACGCAATCATCGCCTCCACAGCAGTGGATCCAGAAATACGGAGTATAGTGGCAGATGGCATTCGAGACATTCCAGTGCTGTCAGATGAAATCAGAGAAGAAACACTTCGGGACTCAATCCTACAAGAAGTCAGAAAGTTCCATCTAGAAGGATGGCTCTCGAAGATCAGTTCTACAGAGCTCCAACAGTTTTACCAGCGTAGACTGTCCCTCAATCATGGATGACTGCCTGCTCTTTACCAAACGTATCACAATCACAAGGAAGCTGCAACCAGCAGTTCTTGCACGCAAGACATCCTGGAGTAAATCGCATGAAGGCACTAACACGAAGTTATGTATACTGACTGTATCTAGACACCCAACTGTAACATCTGTCCCGTTCGTGTACCAAATGTACATTAGCAACAAAAGCATCGTGAAAAGAAGAATTGCAATTATGTCCATTACCACAGTCACCATGGCAGCGTATACACTTGGACCATAACACTAGATTCTACGAACCTGCTCAAAAGGGAGGTGCTAGCGGCACACAGACTGGATTATAGCATGTTCGATGCACGATTGCGTCAGTGCATGCTGATTGGCTGGTTCTTATCTAATCAGCGCTAGTCGATACTTGTAGAACACCATAGAATCTTCTTGCGTAAAACATAAATATACTAGCGTTTTTCCTATTGTGTTTCTTACTTCCATCTAACCTTGTTATTTGGAAAATAATCTCTTCCCTGTTCAACCGTTTTCTGATTTGAGGACCTGTCGAGTAAAGAATTCTAAGCAATAGGAGTAGCTTAGTTCTAATAAGATCGAATTATAACGGGTATCTTGATGAAGTATCATTCCTGCCAGTCTATCGAAACGTGTTCCACCTCACGTCTTCCTGGATAGAACGTGGAGCATGTTTGAAACTACCTCTATGTTTGATTTCAGTGCTTCGGCTGATATGTCGTCAGGTCCTTCTGTTTTTTTCCGCACTTGATTTGTCTGATGTCTGTGTGTGCTTTTTCGATGTCTGGTGGATTCAATGGAGCCGGTCTACTCAAGTGTTCCTCAAAGTACTGTATTCACCTGTTCCTCTGTTATTAAATTTCAGTGATTGAATTGCCTTCTTTGTCCTTGGCCGGTCTCTCTGGTTTACCGTATCTCCCCGCTAGTTTCTTCATTGTATCGTAAAGTTGTCTCATATTTTCTTCTCTTGCAGCTTTTCCGCTGTCTTTGTTGGGTCTTCTAAGTATTTCTGCTTGTCAGCTCCAATGTTCTTCTTCACTTGCTTTTGTATTCAACTTGTGTCTTGACTTTCTCTGCTCGTGTCGGGATATTGTTAATTGTTACCTTTCTGTTCGTCCTTCCTTGAATCCTGTTCAGGGTTTCGATAGAGATCCACTCCTTATGATGATGCATTTTGCGGCTCAGCACTTCCTGGCACGTTGAAGTTGATGCTTCTTTTATCCCTTTCCAATTGTCCTCCATCCTAGTTTCTTTTTCTTTCTGTAGATCCCGTAAGGCTTGGAACCTGTTGTCTAGAGATATCTTGAATTCGTTGAGTTTGTTAAGGTCTCGTAGAGAGGTTGTATTCAATCTTTGTAGTGCTGTTTCCCCGGCTGTCTAGTGTTACTTTAATTTCAGTTTCATTTTGACCAAAACCAGGTGGTGGTCTGAAGCTACGTCATTTCTTCTCCTGGTCCCCACATCTTCTATTGTCCTGAATTTTTTGTTGGTATAAATATGATCTATCTGGTTTTCCGTGGTGTGGTCCGATGAGGTCCATGTAGTTTGTGTGGTAATATTTTGCCGTCTATAAGCCATTTGTTGAGTGCACATAGGTTTGTGAATCTCTCCATTTTTTATTCTCTCTCCCAGTGCATGCCGTCCCATGATATCTTCACATCCAATGCTATTTATCCCGACTTTGGCGTTTAGGTCTCCCATCAGGATGGGGCGATCCTTAAGTGGGCACTTCGCTATGATTATTTATACCTGGTCTTTTGTTGAAATATATCCTGTTTATTTCTTAAGATTTAGTAGATGTAAATTCCCTCATATTCACATTCTTATAACCGCTCACATTGTGATGAACGAGAACTCAACTATGATAAACCAATTTATTGTCTTATGCAAAATTATACAGTACCCTTTTAGTAATGACAATAATGCATCAAATACATCATTAACACATCTCCCTTGAGTCGTCCTTCACAAAATTCAGCATTCTTTGAATCCTGTTGTTATTCCGTTTGTTCTTTGTTTTCTTTCCCTTTCTCTTTATTTCAATTTTCCACTTTCAATCCCTGTTACATATTACTTTACTTCATCTGGATACGTAGTGCACTCTATAACATGATCCAAAGTGTTTGTTTGTTTGGAACTATGGTGTTATACATACGACACCACTTGCTCTATTTTACAATCATAGCTACAGGATAAAATAGTATTGGGGTAATATCCTTATAGATTTTAAAAACCTGTCGAAATGTTGTAAATACTATGTAAACATTTTTGAAACTCATTTATGACGAAACTCGAGATGGCTTTTTCACAACGCTTAGGTGTGTGTAGGTTACTAGCGCATAATAATTATAGCTTATATGTGTTCGTTCAGTGACTGATGGTTGGACTGAATCTGAGCAGCTGATTCAAAAGATTCTTAGAAGAGAAACGTAACGAGTCCTTGTTTAACGTAAAACTCCCTTTTATACTTGGCAGGACGGGGATTTAGTACACTTGTGTGCTCATTCGCAGGTTTTTAAATCGATAACAGGAACTAATTTTGTGACCACTAAAGGGATACGTTTGTGCTGACGGATAGTCCCTTTCAGGTCTTTTATTAGACAGTTATGAGTTAATAGTTAGCATACTGAATTTGGTCACTGCCAGTTGTCATAATACGATTCAAAACGTTTTTACCCCTCGAATATGGGTAAAAACACCATGTTTCTGCACTTTGAACGACGTCACAAAAGATTCGTGAAGACCAAAATAAACCCTTAGATTTCAGACCGTTCGAAAAGCACTGTTAGTAGTCAGGAACTAATTTACCCATATGTGGTTTAAGCGTATACGTCTTTCATACGGTGATGAGGTACGGTTCCTCGTTTAAAGTAGAGGTACCGAAGACTTCAGATCTGTAGATTTGAAGCAGTTCATCCAATTCATACTCTGAAGCAAATGGAAAGGTTTAGCTTGGTCGGACCCACATGAAAATTCCTTCGTCGTTCAACAGACAAAAATAAGAAATATGATAAGGGAAGTAAATAAGTTTCCTGGTGCTTCTAGTATAACGGCAGGTTGCCGGTCAACTCCCCCGCTTAGGTATTCGCCTAAACTTGCTACAAGGCCTAATGTTGTGCGAAATTAGGAGTGAAAACATTTTCTACCAAGGGATATTTGTTAATGTGTTATCCATCATACTTATACTTCACATTACATCTAAGATGAATGGCCTACCAAGTCATAGAATTAAAAGTTAGTGTAATGTCGTTTGTCCTAATGTTAAGTAGTCTCAGATCCTCATGAAGAAACAAGCAATCGTCATACTACCCAACGCTTTTCATCGTCAGGAAAAAAGAAACTCAGAATACACCTGTGAGACCAAGTCATGTACGCCAATTAAATAGATTGATGACCGCAACACATGCAAGTCAACCTCTTCCTAAGTTTCGAGGAACATGACAGAAAGTTTTAGGTCAGTAGTTTGAGTATGCGTCACAGGCGGGCTTTCTAATATTAATGTGAGGATGTGCCGGTCATCGGTCCAGACGTTATTTCTCGTCTTCGTGTATATTGTTTTCCGTTCTTTGAATATACGATCAAACTTAAGGCCTTTTAGTCTGTGGAGCAGTGACAATGTTTTGTTTATAGTCCAAACTTCCGGACATATGAGTTGATGGCTTCAAACTCTTCGAATTCGGGTTAAATGCTTCAGTTTGCCATAACGGACCATAATTTGTCTTCAAAACACGTTATTCTTAGTTTCTCACAAAGGTTCAGTTCTTCACAAGCTCAGGGAGTGTATATCTAAAGAAGGAAATTTTAATCCCACAGATAGTGTTAAGTACTGGTCCCATGGGTAGATTTGGCTTGAAAATTCTCCTATTGTAGTAATAAAGTAAAAGGACAAAAATCTGAATATGTTTGGCCACATGACACTACTTAGTAAGCGTTTTCTCAGTCAGTTCGCGACTTGTTTCTTTGATTGATTTCACCGTGTGGATAGTTCTTTATTACGTTGTCCTAATTAGTTTAATATAACTAGCTAGCTATCATGGCTCCTGTAACTGATTTTTTGCCTACAGTTGTCTCGCGTGTGTACTTGTAAGACGAGTGGCCATATTTTCCACTTTGTTCTCACGGTTAGTTAGTCGAGATTTTCCCTGTATTGCTCCAGTACATTGAACTCAGATTGGTCCATTATTGTATTTTACTTCGAAAATGTTAAGAATGAGGATGCTTCACTGATTTTTAAGCAGTAAACGACAGGTTTCATGTTTATCCACTGAATGTTTCTCTTGACAGACTATAAAAGACTTCGTTACTAGAATATTTAGCTATTTGTGCAAGCAATATGTAGCCTCGAAGTTAATCCCCTGACAATCTAAGAGGGTCCCAATGGGCGGTTAGGGTGTATGCATAACATCAACTAAGGTGTCATCGGTACTCTTAATGTTCCTCCATATATATTCATGCCTCGTAATATAATAAAACTTAAGTCTGAACTATCTTGGTGACTCGCTCTTAGTAACTTTCCAAAGTAGTGGATTTTCAACATAAAGTTTGCGGTTTCAAATCTAGTTCCCAGTATTGAGCGTTAAATAGTTTATTTTTATTTCCAGGGAAAACGTGGAGTCACGAATTACTGATAAAAGTAAATACCGGCCAGCTAATTAACTGCCTAATAGAATATGTACTAGATTCTCAATTAAAGCCTGATGAGGCAGAGGAAGGAGAGGTCAACGATTTGTCTGACCAAGAAGATAATGTCTCAGGTATGAGGTTTAATAATGACTTAGTCGTCTTCAGACTTTTCGAGTAATAGCGGTTCATCAAAGTCTTACAACAACCCATCACCAAAGCATGGAGATGAGAGCTGTACGTCAGAAATGTCACAAAACGGGGGATCATCAGTTTCTACGCTAAATATACCATCAGTACATCATAGCCGGTCCCATAAAAGTAGACCTGTCAAAATAACGGATACTGCCAATGTGTCAAAGAAAACAAATACAAGTCCTGCTAATACCAAATCAGAAGTTCGTGGTCAAACTTCGTCTCATGAAAGCCAAACAACTAAGTTGCAGTCTATAGTCAATTGTGCTAGGGCTTCAGGTAAGAATCTACAGCATTCAAAATATCCTTTAGATCCACAAATATTGTCGGAGCAGGTTGAACCATTTCATACCTCAATGTCTGTTAAGTCAACTAAACATCTTCAGGGTCTACGGGACTTAGAAAAGGTGCAGCTACAGATGCAACTAGAGGTTGCAACTAATCAAGTAAACTGATATCATTTTAAACGTTTCCTGTACTGATATACATCTAGGTTTTACATACGATGTTTTTACCTATTTAATTTATTGCATTGCACTTATAGTATCTTCGCCCTCTGAAGACATTACTCTTCAACCACCTGCGATTTCGTTACATGTGTTTGCTTATCACTAAAGGGATGACAGTTACAAAACCTGGACCTGGTCTCATGAAAATAAACGAAACTAGAAAGGAACAAGCTACGCAATCATAGTAACATAGAGCAGAATCATTTGGCATAAAACCCGATACTCTAATAGCATCTGTAACGCCTCGCAACAACCTTTTGCACATAAATAAGACCAGTGAATCTTGATGATTCCCTGATTAATGGACGTGTAAAGGTCAATTTCCTCTATATCTGACTCCAATAAATAGTGTCGCGTTAACTGAGTATTTACGCAGGCTAAATCTCCAATAGTATGGATTTACTCGAGATTATTCAAAAGCCCGAAACGCCAGTTGTAGCGATAGTTTATTGTTGATGATTAGTAAGCGTCCTCAAGTGCACAGATAGCAAGCACGCAGAGAATAGTGTGTGTTGAAAATCCATATGTACTTATGAGTGTTAGTCGATTGTGGAGAATAGATAAAGATTAATGTACAGACATGTGCCCAATTGGACCCACACAATTTTGCACAATGGATTAAATGTCTAAATTACAGCGAGTAGACAAATAATGAAATAACTGAGTGGGCTTACCACAAATGCTTTGAAACTTATGTGGTCGGATTTAAAACATAGGCGAAGGCAAGTCTGCACTTGATTTTAAGCTTGAGTGATGATCGCTGGTATCCATTCGTAAGGGCACTATCAAGGGGACAATCGTTAACAAGGGAGACCGTTAAGAAGGCACATATTTAAAAGGGCGAGTATTAAAAAGGAAAATAAAATTTCTAAGAGTTTGAAATTTAGTCGGTTTACCATTTGTTCTTTTGACTCTACAATCAACCGGAAATGTAGTTCTCTATACATTCAATAGAGGTCTCAACAAAATTCAATCAAACGTTTACATTCAATGAATAATGTAATCTTTTGAACTTAGTAACAATTCGTTATTTTTATTATCTTAGTCATGTCATCCTATACATCTATTTCAACCAGCGGAGCTGAGAATTTATTGGCCTGCCAAATGAATAATATAAGGTTCATATTCATATACTGTTCATACTAGATAGGAAAATAGCGTTTGACTCCTGTTCGGACGACCTTGTGACATTGCCCATCATATCAAACCGTGACAAATCGATAAATTACCCCGCTTTAGACTTTCTATTCGACCTTACTAAGGTTAACAAATATTTTATGAATAAGAATAGCTTATTCAACAGTTGCTGTGGTATCGGACACACTATGTGATCTGATGATACTAACAAGCTACCCAAACCAAATAATTTAGGGCAGAGTTCCTAATTGCGGCCTAGTAGCTGTACGTCAAACCCCTCAGTCAAATATTCTACTAGAATTGATACGTTCGTTATCTGATATTTTGTAGACTGACCTATTTTTCCTTGAAAGATTCATCAATAACACAGTCTCTCCTAATAAGCATCCTTTGTAGCAACATAGGGTTCGGGATTCGTGTGTCTTTCCAAACTGCTGATTCCGTACTGTTGCATCAGCGTCCCGATTGAATGTATACCATAGAGTAGTTGAGCACGTCATCTATGTGGTCGGTAACTTTATTTTTGTGTATTGAACTTCTGGCCACCTAGGGAATTCAGTTTTCCTCCACGTGGTTGTACGCAAATCTATAATTTATATGTACTTTTAATTGAATGTTTCATTTTCATATTAAAAAAATATTTTAAAGCATTTATTTTGGTGATTACCAGTATTCGGTGTTTTAGATTAAATTTTTAACCGTGTGTGACAGGATTTTACGGTGTATTATAACCGAAGGCTACTACACATCGTTCAATTCATCAACTCCATTTTCTATCCATTTCAGAATGAACATAACCATACTTCTACTCCCTATCCCAGTTCCTCTCAACAAGGTATGTGCATTTTTAAGCTTAATTTTTGCGAGCGTTTTATCTTTTCTGCTGTTGTCTTTTATAAAGGCAACTATAAATTTAATTATGTGTACCTGAAGGCAAGAGAAACTCAGTGACAAACTGGCATTTACAACCAGACACAAATTGTTTTTAGCTCATTAATATTCATGTTTAGCTCTTTAGATTTGAAGCTAGATTTGAATACCTACCCGAGATATATGAACTAAACAATTGAAAACCTTTAATATATTTCATCATCTTATCATCATAACAATAGCTTTAGATGCATATATACTGTCATAAATATCGGTAGACTGAAGCCCCATCCAAATTCTCAGTTTATTGCTTCCTTACCCTTTAAGGTATGTACGTGTTAATACATAATAGTTTCTTTCATAACGTTTCTGTTAAGTTTTTACATACATATTTCCTGTTTTTGATAAAATGGACTAGTAACTGATGAAATTGTCGAAGGTATTCGGTTTTAAAACCTTGTCAAACCAGCCTGGATGTTTTTTAAATTCTCTAGTAAGTGAATGAAATTAACTTACGTATCATGTTATTGCCATTTCGAGTGACCATCTTATACCTAGTAAAACTAAAATCTAATTTTGCACAATATTTAAACTGTTGGTTCTAATACACCATAGTTAGGCTTCTACTATAGACCACAATTGCACCGCCGACTACATAGAATATCCGTTGCTAATAGAAAACCTTTTTCCTTTCCTTTCATTTGCCTTTGTTATCTCCATTTCCATAGTTTACACAGCCTTTTACTTTGGAACCATTGTTAGCTTCGTTAAATTGCGTACTGTTGCAAAACGTGATAATTTAATCCTCTACGTCTATGAGTTTTGTATGTTCTGTTCCTCGTGTCTTAAATTAAACCATCTCCTGGGATTATCGTCGCTTCAATACTCAAACGTTATCGTTGACAGTTTGTTATACTCGAGTATTTAAGTAATAGAAAGTTTTACAGTTCCTTTTTTGAGAGTTAAGTTTCGGGGAATACTGTATACACTGCATGGCTTATTTGTTCCCAAATATTTATTTTATCTCATCACTTATTATTTCTTGATAAAATATAAAATCATGTTGAGTGTTGTTCTTTTTCTTGTTTTATCACCTGGAGAATTTAGGTCTGATAACAAGTTTGCATATGTATTTAAGTGATAAATGAAATTCATTTGTGGGAGCTGTAGTTATTTCAGTATATTGCACTTATAATTTATATTGTTTTTATCCATAAAATACAGTACATCAGAGTGTGTTTCCTGGTTTTGTCCCTGGTGGGACACCAAAACTAGCACAAAATTCTATGCAAAGGGTTGCTTCTGTTAAAGCTGTTTCCGAAAACATTAACGGTGATAATCGTTTTGGTTTGTCCGGCTCTTGGCAGGTAGCCATTCCTCCTTCATCTGCATTAGGTTCTCAACAAGAAATTGAAAAGGTAAGAACCGCTCATCATGTCATGCATATATTTTTGGATTTTTTAAATAAACCATAGGTAACTTGTTTTTTGTTTTATTACAGTAGTGTGTAAAATGGTATTAGGGCTAGATTATCGTTTTAATTTTGTAACTTGATTGGTTCAACATCATAATAAATCAGTTAATTCAACACATAAATTCCAAAACGAAATTTTATGTAAAATTCGATCTGATATGATAAGTTTGACTACAAACTGTTTAAATACTGGGGAGTCAATTAATTTCAATTTATCAGTTTCGATTGTATGTTTAAACTTGTTGGTAAAATTTTAATTTCCAAACTTAAATATATATAAAATGTTCGAAATTTAAGCATGTGATAGTATTCTAGCATCAATTAGGATAAATCGCTAAAGTTAGTTAGCCTTTTAAAACCTGTGTTCTAGTTTGTGATTCAACAATGAATACCTTCAGCTTTATACAGAACCAACCACTAAACATTCCATTGTCGGTTTGTAGACTGTCAACTCACCATAAAAATAATAAGTCGCCTTTTCACAAACTAGTTAAGCTTTTAAAAATCATGCTACCTAATCAAATTAGTTGTAATTGGGCTATACTCCTACAGATCCAGTTTGTTTATTCTATGCATTTCGTGTGCTACTTTATTTTTCATCTGCCTAATATGTATGTTTACTTCGTTAGCCCTTGGCTATCAGGAGTTATTGAGGGTATATTGTGATTTATTTAATTCAGATGCATATGATGTATCAGAAAGCCTGTCAACTTTATCAGCGTGCTGTAGCTACTATTGGATCAACACCTAATGTCAGCATCCAACCCCCACCTTTCGGCACTCCTATTGGTTCTCCTCCTTCAATATCTCTCCAATCATTTCCACCGACTCTGATGCCTGTTACTGCCGTTGAACGTCCAGCATCTGTGTCTCCGTCCAAATTCATCCCGGCGTCTCAACTTCCTCATGACGTTCTCAGAGATGTACCTAATCAATGCATTGGTCAAAATCCTCATATACCGGCAATTATTCCTAATCACGCACAGTCAGCTAGTATACAGACTGCTTATTCGATGGCGTATTCTTCCGCCTATCAAGAGACTTTAAAGTTTATGTCTAATAATACCGGGAGTAACTTAGCCCCTAATACACAGGAATACACATCTCAGTGGCATCGCTATTTTAATCACTATCTGAATTATTATTTACAAGTTCATAATTATACACCTACGCTATCTAGTGAACAACAACCAGTTTTCTTCCCTCCCACTGGATTACCACCTCCCCCTAGCATTGCATCCTCTGTAAGTTGCAGTTTTGTATATTAACGCTGCGTTATTCTACCTGTGATATATATATATATATATATATATATATATATATATATATATATATAATTCATCAGTGTCGTGTCTTAACGATTGATCTATATCATTTGCTAAGTTTGCCAGTCAGAGTTGTGGTATTTTCTCTACCCACGCCTAATATTACGTTAATGACCGTCTTAGGTTTTGACCTATGATATGATGCGTTCTAACCAACACAATTCGTCTTGAGCTAACGTATTTTAACTCTTACTGATTCTCCAATATACATCGTTTGCTATCCCTAACCCTAAGTCCAAAGGGAAAACGAGTCAAACTATTATATCATATTCCAACCATCACAACTCAGGAATTATCCCAAGCATTTATTGGCTTATACACACAAGGAATTGGGTTGCAGTGCACCATAAAATAAAAAAATCGTAGTTTAAACACGTGCCAAAAGTGGTAGTGAAGACGGGCAAATTGTAGGTAGTCGATTGATAACAGTTTAGGAATAATTAGACGTATGGTGATGGTTAGTGAGTCAAATGGAAGTTTACAATAAGCATAATATAGATATGCAATTATACAGTCATCTACTTACTGTACAATAAAAATATGAACAATAATAGTTCGAAAAACAGTCCCGAACCTCATGTTTTAATATTTACTTCACTGCAAGACTAAGCAACCGACTATAGTTGTTGTTTTCCATCAACTAACATCTTTTGTGCCGTCTTAGGAAGCTTTTCCACATTTGTTCAATTCAAGTTGAACCATCATTTTCCCTCCGTTGCTGCTTCGACTTTAAATAAATGCCATTTTACTTTTGAACCCTGATTAACTGCATTTGGTCCTTTTTCTTTAATTTTAGCAAAATATATTTGACAGTTTCGAACTTTCTAGGCGTCTGATTTAACATAAAAAATTCTGCCAGATTATAACATCAAAAAGTGTTATCGTTGTGTAATAATTCTGTTATTACTTGTTAAGCGTATAGTACTTTTTGACGTATAACTATGAATTTTTGCTTAATGATAAGTCATAAAATTAGTGATGATTTGGTGATTTATGCACTCAAATTTCAGTCATAAAATCATAGGTCTAAGTCTTATCCCTTCTATTTCGTTACAGTATCCACTTTCTGTTTATAGTTTCCAAAAGCTCCAAGTACAGGAATCGGTAATTGATTACTAAGTTGCATTGGCTTATTTCTTTATTCCTTGTCTACATATGAAAGCTAAAAAACTTTCTATTACGTTTAATATGAAAATGATTTAGTATTTTTCCGTGCCCTATTAATTCAAGACTGAAGCCCAGTTCTTAACCATTTTTTCCCTTTCCAAGTGAGCTCATCTTATTTACAAGATAAATTATTGTTCCTGTTACGGAGATGTACTATGTTTATTGATTTTTACATCACCCAAAATACCACCGTTCAAAATAATTAAGATATTGAATTAATTCAACCTATCATATGTACTTGATGGTTCTTTACATTCAGTTGTCACGATTAAGTATATTTTATTTCTTTACAGTGTTCCAATGATCTAGTTTTTCAATCTAAGCGAGATTTTCATAACCATCATGACTCTAAGCGCCTATGTATATCGTCTAACGAGGGTCTTCATCGTATTTCTACTGTACTCCATCCTGAACATTCCAATCGCTCTAGTTCCCCATCTGATTCAAAAAATGAAACAAACGATGGATCAAAAAGCGATCGTAAGTGATTGAAATTTATCCAAATATAGTGCTCTAGCTTTTATATGTATATAATTTTGAAACTGAGTTCACAATGCCAATGAAAACAATATAGCCTTTGGAGTAGATCATTTTACCTAGAAACAGCATAATGGATGATCTTTATCGTATGTAAAGATTATATATTTTCCCGACAATTCTTTATTTTATTGACTCAATTCTCGTGTTGTCTCATCATTATGGAGGTTATTATTACCCACTAGAGTTTACTCATTTTTGCTTGAATAAGACGAAAGTTGTTTCGGCGGTGAAAATATGTGATTGAATTATATCACAAGTTAACTTTTATTGGAATTCGTGTTCATTTAATTTGGACCCTTTAATGCATTGATAATCTTCATTACAAAAGTTGAGTACTCTAAATCTGTCGAACAGTTTCAAGTAATAACGAAGTTTTTTTCAAATAAGTTGATGAATAATTATTGTAATTTAACTGCTATTACCTGGGTCACAGACTCTATACATAATATATTATTCTTCAGGGTCTGGTTCACCTAAACCTTTTTCGTGTTAAACTAATACCTCCCAGTCGTTATATATAACCACATATTTGAGTATACTTTCGACTTCCATTTATTTTCGTAGTATCCTCGTCAAAGTATTTATGGATAAGCAATCTCCCTCAAGGTGTTCGAGCAGTAGATATTAAAGAAATGTGTGCGCCATACGGAAAAGTAAGTTGTTTGTTGATACTGTAGTCTTATTGACTGCGTCTTTTATCGATAACAATTCCTGCTTTCTTAGAATCTAAACTTAGTAACATTTGAACTACAGTTCTTATTTGAAGTAATTGATAAAACGGAAAAAGAAAACTGCATAATGGTCGTAAATATTCTTTAATTATGTGTTTATCAATTATCTGATTAATATTTCATGTGGTTTAGGTCATTAAAGTCAAACGAGTACGGTTTATTACGTTCAGGATGTTTTATACTTTTAAAATTATCCATCAGCCAATGTGTTGTCACACTTTCGTATAGCCAATTAATTTCCTGTAACAAGCATATTTTTGTTATTGACTCTTACGTTACCCTAAAGACTGTTAATCACACTGTACAGGAGTAGTGGGCTAGTAGTTAAGGCGTTCGATTTTCAGCTATTAAACCAAGTACTTGGTCACAGCTGTTGCTCCTGCTTCAGTTCAGGCAGCCGAGTGGTATCAATAGCCCTCACAATTAGAGTGTACCTCATACACAAGTGCCTTAGTGAATGAGTTAATTCAAAAATGTTGAGTCGTCAATGGACTTCGCTTTCTAAACTACTAAGTGAGGCTTAAATCTGATGAATAACGGAAGTTATATATATATATATATATATATATATATATATATATATATATATATATATAAACATAAGATATTTAAACAGTATTGTTTTGATTGTATAGATCGGTTATACTTACCATCTGATGATAAAAGGCGAATATGATCATTTGATGTCTTGTGCATTTGGCAGCCTGGCTGCTTTTTGCTAACAAGCATCATTTGAAATCATATGATTACAGCCTTACTGATGGTTACTTTTAAACATAATTTTGTTTTATGTACGTTAAAATATAAATAAGATTGTCAACGTTGATTTTTTTCTAGGTTCAAACAATAAAAATAGTAGGCAGTAAAAAGAGTAAACCCCCATCTATTTACGCTTATCTCATTATGGAGACTTCGGAGGCCGCAGTCCGTCTTATAAAAGCCTTACAAGGTGTGAAGTTCTCTGGAAATGAATTGAAGATAAAACAAGTATGTACTGTCTTAAATTTAGTATTTGATTTATCCCTTTTTCAACACTAATGGAACATTCATGAATTCATTGGTTATCTTGACCAAACCTAATAATCAGTATTATGATTGAGTCCGTTTCATATCAGGGGCAATTATGGAATTTCTAATAGTCCTTCAAATCTTTTAAAACCAATACAAAGGATTCTGTCAAAGTTGTGAAAACTATTTACAAATCTGATTATACATTAAGCCAATCGGGACTCAATGAAAATTTTTCTGAGATTGTACTATTTCAGATAGTCGCTAAATTCGGTCCTTAGTGAGTGTTCGAATATATTTCAAAAAGAAAAGTTTGTGGTGTAAAGTTTCTGTTGATAAAAAAACCTATTGAAAGGGAATTTTTCCAGTCTATTCGTTATTTTACTAAATGTCTAAAAGGAAATTTTAACTATACTGAGATCTGAGCAATAATTGGGTTAAAGGTTCTTAATGCATATTTGAACTACACCTCAAGGCTCAGTGAAGCGAAAATAAATGTTTATTTTATAAGAGTGTGCGGAAAGTAATCTGCATCAAAAGTATATTAGAAATCTTTACTTCGATTTAAAGTTCGATATAATTGACTGACTCAAACGTTATGCGCTAAATCAAATCGATTCTCTAAATTTATATATTAATGAAATTTTTAAAAAAATGTCAAGAAAGTTGATGCTATTGAAGAATCTCCTGCTAACTTAAAGGAACGATTTTTGAACCATGTTAAGATGATGGTTTATACAGGAAAAGTAAAACCTAAACAAACAGATTCCAGAAATAAAATTCCCATCTCGGTATATATGCAATTTTTCCACTGTTAATCTCAATAAGATTGAGTTAAAAGCGTTATCATTAGGGCCAAAGTTTTGTGACTTAAAAAACAGTTAATAAAATTGGCGTTGAAATTGAAATTGAAAACCTTTATGTCCAAACTGCAGTCAGTAATTCCATCAAAAGATTATTATTTTATTTTTATTTTAACACATAGATATTTGTACAAGGAGGCACCAAATACATATGCGCCACACAAATCTCATTTGATTTCTGTAAGGGCTGTGATACTGCCCGGGTGCCCAAACCGAAGCAGGTGGTTTTCTTAGGGGGCCACACCCGGAGCCTTCGACCTGAAGGTCTGATCCACAAAACAGTGGAGTATCGTCAGGAGATGCAGTCCCATGGAAGCCGGTGACCAACGATTGGTTCTAAGACCATTTGTTCCTTCAGGATACTGCAGTCCATGTGCACCATTGGCTTGGAATTAGGGTTTTCCAACTCCTCTAGGTGGACTCTCCATGTCCACCAACCCGGTTAAAGCACCGGACATTCGCTTTTCGTCCTCTCAATTTCGTAAACAACACCCGTGGTGCGAGAAGGCAGTGAGTAGAGGCTATATACGCGTGGCCTTGTGAGAGTATTTCGAGAGGGAGAGCGGACTCTCCCCACTCTCGGCCGTACCAGGGCATTCAGTCAGTCAGTCAGTCAGTAACAACGTAGAACCTCGTACGTACGTACATCAGTTCGAGTTGCCACACCACATTAGCACAGAGATGCACTTGTCGATTCAAATCCCGTAGTGGTAGAGGTAATAAGAGTATAAGCAGTAATCGGGAAGATTAGGGTTTGGAGATGTTATTTAGAGAGTATAATCCAGTGAAAGAAATTTGGAAAGAGGGAAAAAGGGACATGAAGAATTCAGAAGATTAGAATTTGGGAGAACACAGAGAGTGGATGCACCTGCGCCATTGCAAACGATTTTGAGCCATGTCATTCAGGGTCTCTAACCATCGGTTGCTGTCATCTCGCGGTCCCCAACCAGCTAGTCTACACCTACCAACATGACTCAGTTCACTTGTCAGTGACTTCATGGACTTGTGCCATGTTTTGGTTTGGCCGCCCCTAGCTTTCTTCCAACCTACTCCTATACCACTGAACATAGCACGTCGAGGCAGTCGGTCGTTGGGCATACGTAACACGTGTCCCAGCCATCTCAACTGATGAAGTTTCACTACTTCATCAATTGATTTGCCATCCTTACCTAGTACCCATTTCCTAACAACTGTGTTACTTACTCGATGGTCCCAGGATATACGAGCAATGTTTCGAAAACACCTATGATCAAATACTAGTAACCTACGGATATCCTCTACTCTTACCGGCCATGTTTCACTGCCATAAAGTAGGACGGGCATTTGGGGGCACCTAAATGATAAGCATAATTCGAAGATGATTTTGACAAAAAGTCAAGCAAAGTTTACGGAAACATGAAACTGACGTCAAGTTTTTGATCACGAATCCAGACAAAGGTCATGGTTTATTGCTAATGGATAAAAGCGACTGTTTGAACAGAGTGAAGGCCGTTTTAAATGATAAGAGTAAATTTCCGAAACCGGTAATTAAGAGTAGTACGGTAAACAGGATTGAAAGATAACCAATAGAATTATTGAAACAAATTAAACAAAAAGGTTTTATTACAGAAAAGGTGTTGGGAATGTTGAGACCTACAGAAGAAATAACACCAATATTATATAATCTGTCAAAAATATATCGAGGTGACTTGTCCTGTTGTGGCTAATTTCCTCTATATCTGACTCTAATAATGATATCTCGTTAACTGAGTATTTAAGGCAGGCTAAATCTCCTAGTAGAATTATGGATTTACTCGAGATTATTCAGAAGCCTGAACATCAGTTGTGGAGATATTTTATTATTAAAGATAAATAAAATCATCAAGCGTACAGCGAGCAAGCACACTGTGAAACCAAGAGCGTGTGTGTGTGTGTTAAAAATCCATATATATTTTTGAGTGTCAATCAAGTGTGGATAAATCATTGATTATGTGTATCTTACAACCAATACTTACTTACGCCTGTTACTCCCAATGGAGCATAGACCGCAGATCAGCATTCTCCAACCCACTCTGTCCTGGGCCTTCTTTTCTAGTTCCATCCAATTCTTTTTCGTGTTTCTCACGTCTATCTCCATTTCTCGGCGTAATGTGTTCTTTCGTCTTCCTCTTTTCCTTTGGCCTTGAGGATTCCATGTGAGGGCTTGTCTTGTGACGCGGTTGGGTGCTTTCTTCAATGTGTGTCCTATCCACTTCCAGCGCTTCTTCCTGATTTCTTCCTCCGCTGGGATCTGGTTTGTTCTCTCCCACAGTACGTTGTTGCTAATAGTGTCCGGCCAACGGATCCGAAGTATTTTACGTAGACAACTGTCAATAAACACCTATGTCTTCTGGATGATGGCTTTCGTAGTTCTCCAGGTTTCCGCCCCATACAGTAGAACTGTCTCAACATTTTTGAAAATCCTGACCTTGGTGTTGGTTGACAGTTGCTTTGAGTTCCAGATGTTCCTCAGTTGTAAATATGCTGCTCTTGCTTTGCCGATCCGCGCCTTCACATCTGCATCAGATCCACCCTGTTCATCAATGATGCTGCCCAAATATGTAAAGTTTTTTACATCTTCCAAATCTTCTCCGTCAATTGTGATTGGATTGGTGCATGCTGTGTTGTATCGGAGAATCTTGCTTTTCCCTTTGTGTATATTGAGACCTACTGCTGCTGAGGCTGCTGCCACGCTGTTCGTCTTCTCCTGCATTTGTTGTTGCGTTTGAGATAGAAGGGCCAGATCATCTGCGAAGTCTAGATCGTCTAACTACATCCTAGATGTCCATTGTATCCCATGTTTCCGTTCAGATGTTGATGTCTTTATGATCCAGTCGATCACCAGGAGAAAGAGAAAAGGTGAGAGTAAGCAGCCTTGCCTGACACCAGTATTAACTTCGAACGACTCTGTCAACTGTCCTCCATGCACGATTTTACAGTGTAATCCATCATATGAATTCTGTATGATATTGACTATCTTCTGAGGTACGCTGTAGTGTCGAAGAAGCTTCCATAGTGTTGTTCTGTCCACGCCGTCAAATGCTTTTTCGTATTCGATGAAGTTGATGTGGAGTGATGAGTTCCATTCAAATGATTGTTCCACAATGATCCGTAGAGTTGCGATTTGGTCTGTACACGATCTATCCTTACATAATCCTGCCTGTTGGTCACGAAGTTGGGCGTCTACGCAGCCCTTCATCCTGTTTAACAATACCCTGTTGAAGACTTTTCCTGGTATTGAGAGAAGAGTGATGCCCCTGTAGTTATCACAGTTGCTGAGATCGCCTTTCTTCGGTATTTTGATCAGAAGTCCTTCTTTCCAGTCTGTTGGTACTTGTTCTCCATCCCAAATCTTATTGAAGAGAATGTGGAGTATCCTTGCAGTTGCCGCTACGTCTGCTTTTAGTGCCTCTGCTGGGATGTTGTTTGGTCCTGCTGCTTTGCCACTCTTGATCTGTCTGATGGCCATGCTGATTTCTTCAATTGTTGGTGGGCCAACATTGATTGGGAGGTCCGTGTGTGCTGCTTCGATGTTGGGTGGGTTCAGTGGAGCTGGTCGATTCAAGAGTTCTTCGAAGTGTTCTACCCACCTGTTTTGTTGCTCTTCAATGTTGGTGATTACCTCGCCTTCCTTGCTTTTCACTGGTCGTTCTGGTTTGCGGCGATTTCCAGAGAGTTTCTTTGTCGTGTCATACAATTGTCTCATGTTTCCTTCTCTTGCAGCCTTTTCTGCCGTCATTGCTAAATCTTCCACATATTTACGTTTGTCGGTTCTGATGCTCCTCTTCACTTGTTTGTTTACTTCTGTGTATTCAGCTTGTGCCTTGGCTTTTTCTGCTCTTGTTCGACTGGTATTGATTGCTGCTTTCTTGTTCCTCCTTTCTTGAATCTTATCCAGTGTATCGACAGTAATCCATTCCTTGTGATGGTGCTTCTTGTGACCCAGGACCTCATGACATGTTGAAGTGATTGCCTCTTTGATCCCCTTCCAGTTGCTCTCCATAGTAGTTCCTTCTCCATTGAGTAGATCATGAAAGGCCTGGAACTTATTGCTGAGGACTATCTTGAATTTGTTGAGTTTGTTAGTATCCTGAAGAA